CTACATACTGTAGAGCGCCGCCATGTGCCACTCTTCGTGTGGTTTCAGCGCTTGCACTGTAGTCACACAGTGTCACGCCGACGTTCGTACGCCGCGTGCATGTTCTTTCCTATCAATACTAGGTCGCTTTGCAACTACAACAGGCCTCCCATAGTAGCTTGTGTGACGGCCGTGGAAATTTTCGACTGTACAATAGAATATTGACGGAGGCGATGATCTCTCAGACTCGTGGAGTCCGTACAAGGGTCGGATCGGCAATTCTTCGAACACCTAACGAACAGCTGACGAGATCGCATGGTATGCAACCATCAGGCAAACGTGAATCGACCATGGTGATCGCAAGAGAAGTTGAAATGCAAAGCATGCAGGGGCCTCTCGACGTTGTGGTGGTCGTAGAGGTGTTGACATGTACTACGTAGTGCAGGTTCGAGAGGTCGTATATTGTCACAGGCTGTGGCTTCTCCGATGACACATCTACATGAGAACGCATCCATGGCTCACCATCCTTGGTCGCGATCGCATAGACCTCATGTGGCATTGTCGCTGGACCTCGACAACTACTGGGAACGACAGAATGCAACGCCCACCAAAGATTATGGTGTGTTACAGGTAATTTTGTCCAATAATTTCAATGTCCAAAATACTGCATTTTGATTGGCAAAATTTTCATTTTCTCGCCCGCGCGAAGAATCAATGTAATGAGAGCATCCACATCAAAAATGGGACGCTCAAAGTATCCAATTTTGATGAAGCTCCAGGCATTAGGTCTCTTTGAGACGATGTCGTGTCGCAAGGTAGCCACAGCACTCGAGGTGCCAAGACGTACAGTCCGAAGCTGGCTCCAACAGCGTTATGTGCCCCTGGACTTCGAAGGAGACAAGAAACGAATCAAGGTAGAACGAGGGGTAGGTATGAGGGGTTCCCATACCCACCAGGTCTCATTGACTTCTTAAACTATATTCGCGACAATGAACGGGCACTAACAACTACTCACATGATCACATGGATCAAGCTGAACCAGAGGGATTTGCTCTTGGCCTACTTCGCAACAAAAAAATCCACGACTGCATACAGCTCGCTGCACCGGCTGCTCCAGCGCTTTTGCCAGCGCCTTGGATTCTCTCACCAGCGCCAAATTAAAAACAAGCTTA